GAGCAGTTGGAAACAAACAGGTTTCCTCAGCGCCATTAAAAGATTACATCTGCCTTCTTAAAATTTGAGAGCTTCAGTTTTGTATTTATTGTTGGAGCTGCGCTGATCCTCCCTCCATGCTGCATGAGAGCAGGCTGCATATGCAGAGGGAGGGTGGGGTGGGGCTGAGTGAGTCACACAGTTTAGTGAGAGAGAAGAGATGCAATGCACTGGCATGGCTTTGCTAAAGAGATGATTTCTGTAGCTCAGCTTGGAGCAGGGGTCGCAACCTTCAACATCAAACGAGCCTTTTTAGCTGAATAATGTGAGGGGGGAAAAACGTGTGTGTGTGTGTGGGTGCAAGTAACAAATATATAATAATATATATACTTAATACAAGAATAATAAGATGTCTTAATAAGAAGAAGAGTGGAAAAACAAATATATCATAACCTCGCAGGTCTATTTGAGTTCACAGCTTGTGGAAAATTAATCAAATAAAAAATAGCAGTGAAATAAAAAGAATAATCATGAAAACTATTTGTATGTAATTATGACTTCAGTCCATTTCCATGTGCTGTCATCGTCTGCAATAAACCAGCCCTGAGCACAGCGTGTTCACCCAAAGGGGGTCGAAAGAGCCGCACGCACCTCCCCGACCTCTGGCGAAGAGGGCATCGGTACAAAAAGTGTGGTCTCATCATCTATCGCCCAGCTGCTTGCCCAGAAATCTAATCAGTCCAAAAAATTCAGTGGTATTTCCAAGCCGACGTTTGAAAGGAAGAAATAAAATGAATAAAAAGTGAAGTTCAGTTTTTGGCATTGTCAAACCGACAGCTCCAATACAGTCAGTAAATAACAGAAAATCTATTTTCTTCATCGATCATCTAATCCGTTTATGAATGGATTATTCAGCTTGTTAAAACTTGCGGTCTCTGCTGGAAAAAGTTTCCCCATCTTTAGATGCTAAAAAAACTGCTGTAAAGTTGGCAGTTTTTCTTCCTTTTTTTCTTTAAACTTCTTGAAATTGATATCTTGTAGCCGCGCGTGTCGCACTGACTCAGCCATTCAGATGAGAGAAACACACAGTGTAACATCTTCCAGGCATTAATCATGGTCTAGTGCAGGCTAACATCCATCTCTCTTCCTCTGGCTCTGCTCAGATTTAGTCAGTGTCAAACTGCTGTTTTCACGCTGAGAAAAATCGCCCGTCTCATTCAGGCACAGCTTTCCTTCATTTTACATCATTTATCATGGTGAAAGCTGTTGTTTGCTGTGGGAAATTTCCAAGTAATATTGAAAGCGCGCCGCACAGATGCTTTATACACACAGTCGAGTTTGCTGTGTTAGTTGAGGCTAAGCTCCGTGTGTGTGTTTGTTTGTTTGTGCAGGAGATGGAGGAGAGAATCCAGCGTTTTGATACATTCCTGTGAAATGGAGAGAAAATACCCATCAGGTAGATCCTGAACAGCCTGGGACCACAACAACAACACAACACACACAAAACTGAGTGAGCACGAGTGGAGGAGCTTCAGCCCTCAACACAAAAACACCACACAGGAAACTCCAGCACCCTCCTCGTCGCTGGGAGGGAACAAAGCGAGGATGAGGACAGAGACATTCAATGGTGCTATCGTCTCAGGAACCTGGCCACATCCAGACGCATACTACACAACCAAACCCCTGGAGGTGTGTCAGCCACACTTATACACACACACACACACACAAACCGACAGTGGCAGGCAACACTGGTGCTACTCGGGTGCTATCCTCAACTTTATCCGTGCTGCTCTCGGGAAGATTTCTTAAGTTTGGACGACTAGAAAAACCAAGAGATGGGGTGATGTCCTATCACAACGTGGCAGCGCGTACACGCCGAAACACTTGACACGAGTATGCATGCATTTCTACAAACAGACGCACTCACTCAGACCCTCACCAGCAGAAGTGTGACAGCAGAGTGCCGCCAAGAGACGAGGACGGGGAGCGAATGGGCGACCCACGCCAGCGAGCCCTCCCGCCCTCGAGTGGAGCGCTTCATCACAGGCCAGTTGTTACCGCGCTATCGTGCAACCTTTTTCGTTGTCGTTTTTGTTTCGTTTCCTCTTCTCTCTGCCCTTTTAGCTACTTGATTAGTTCCATATCTGAGCCACAATCACCCAGAAGAATAGTTTACAAAGAAGTTTTTTACCGTAGACACAAACTCGATGAGGTTAGCACAGCAGGACTAGAATCAATTATGTCCTCTTCATTATGGCGGTCATCAAGCGTGGAAAGCCGTTAGCCCCCTCGGCGCTGGTCTCAGAGTTACTGGTGAACAAGCGTAGCGTCGCCTCGGGGTCATCTGTAAAAACCTCCTCACTCGAAACATTCGCTGGCA